TTTCATGGATGGATGCAGTGCTGTCAGTTAAACAGCAGATGGAGCCATTGACTTAGGCATGGAGAAAACAGGAAGAGCTGGTCCTTGTTTACAGTGATAATAAGTATGATCATACTTAAGTATATGGTTTCATATGCCTATACTGTTTATCAAGTGTAGGTGTTTTAAATACATGTTGCTTAAGCTAAACTGCAAGGTTTGTTTTGAGAGTGGCATAAGGGTTTTATGTGAAAGATACCCCAAAGTTATTCTATATCATGTCTAAAGTAACATTTTAACAAATAAAAAATGTATTCGTAAATGTATACATGAATTCATATTTATTTTAAAGCTGAATATTTGTCATCCAGTGCTTCAGCTCACTGAAGCACTGGAGCCATACTTAGCATAACGGTATAAAACTATGAAGACTTTTACACTGTCTGTAGATGTTGAAATTACGGTATTTTTGCCTGAGAATTGATGCACAGCATGCTGGCGACGAACCCCTCAGATTTCCTCATTGGGTACGATGGATGGTGCATTAGCTTTAGTGTGCTGTTGTCTACTCTTTCACCCAGGGCCGCCTGGCTCCACATCTGACAATGTGTCCATGTGTTAATGACTTCACCTTGTGTTAAATATCTCTACTGAGGCAATTAGAGACACATGGAAGGCATTTGCTACAAGTGCTGGCCACTGCTGCAACTCTGTTTGAATGAATAATGAAGAGGAATACAATCACAGCAAAAGTGGAAACATATGACAAGGGTGTTGAAGTCAGCCACAATGTAACGTGATTTTTTTAAAAGAAATGCATCTCTATCGCTCTGATGACAAATAAGCAGGGTCAGCAGTCATTTCAGTGCGTGAAATGTCCACTTTAAACAAGAGGGTCTGTCATCTCTCTGTTGTTGCTGAGGTTACTACTAGAACTAATAATGTCATTGATAGATGGTTGGTGACTATTCAGAAATGCAACAGCATCTGTCTCATGTCATTTCATTACATACAATACATTATTACTGTATGCTTAAAGGAATACAACAACATTTTGGAAAAAGAGAGTTAGATGACAAGATCAATAGGCTGCCATGCTTCCATATTTATGCTAAATGTGAAGAGAGAGACTACAGGTGGTTAGCTTAGCATAAAGACTGGAAACAAAGGAAAACAGCTACCCTGGGTCTGTCCAAAGGTAAAACAAACCCATCTACCATCACCGGTAAAGCGAAACTAATTAACAGGAAGTAACTGAGCCTGGCCAAGACATAGTTCTAGCACGTAACTCCTCATAAAACCACAAATTACATTTCAGTCTTTGTATGGATTAAACAAACAAGACATAATGTGTTAATTAGTACGCTTCAGAGGCAGCTGGTATGTGGATTTTCTCACCTAATGACAGAAAAGGGCTAGTTGTTTCCCCCTGTTTCCAGTCTTCATGCTAAGCTAAGCGTTTGCTGGCTCTTGTTTTTAAAAATGTTTTTTGGGACTTTCATTCCCTTTAATGGATAATGACAGCTGTAGAGTGACAGGAAATGGGGGAAACAGAGACAGGGGATAACATACAGAAAAGGGCCACAGGTCTGAGTAGAACCCATGGCCTTAGTAGAGGCCAGCTCTACTAGGTGAGCAACCAGGGCATTCCCTTGCAGGCTCTTACATCATAGTGATAACCATCTTCTCGATAACCTTTGGCAAGAAGTTCATATTGTAATAGCTGCAGGTATAAGATCAATTTTATAATTTCAAAATTGCACGGATGAAACCTGCAGGCTGTATGTTGGGGCAGAATTAGCTATAATATACCCCGCCCTGCCTTTGTCAGGCTCATTACAGCATACAATGTGAAGATTATTATTATTATTATAATAACCTTATTTATAGCTCCTTCCATGCAAAGACGAACCCCAAAGTGCTTTACAAAATAGGTTAAAACAAGGTTAAGCAAAAAGTGAATAAACAACAACGATACCTTAAACTTTTGATAACAATACTAATACCAATAAAACCAAAAGGAATATTGGTCCATATGTGTAAAACTGGCTGTCAGGAGAAACAAACAATGTTTCAATGTGTTTCATCTGTGAAACAGTGATAAATGATATTATGCTCAACAATGTTTCCTAGAGGGCACATGTATAAAGACAAAAGAACAGGGCCCAGAATGCTTCCTTGGGGAACACCATAATCATTCTCAAATGTGTGTGACGTAAAATCACCCAAACAAAAAACAATGAAACTAGCACTACATTAGAGAGACAAACCCATTTCTGAAGTCTATTAATTAAAATGCCACAATCAGTTGTATCAGCGCTCAAATAAAAAAGAATAAGGACGACCACATTGTCGTAAAACTCTCAGGTCACTGCTGTCTTTAATATAGCTATCAGTGGTTAGTCCAATAACAAGGGAATTATTCATGACACCGTTATAAAAGTATCTGTAATAAAACTTAATGACATCTTTAAGACTAGTCCAAATGGTACCAATTTAGTTGAGATCAAGGGAATAAATCATGACACAATTATACTGGTCTCATGACAGCCATATGCAATATGTTATTATGTTATGTTAATATGTTATGACAGGTTAAGCTGTCTTGGTTTATGTCAAGTTAACATAACAAAAACATATCTTAAACAATGTCAACTTTGCATTCAGTCACATAACTGACTGAATTACAATTAATGACAACAGTCAACCAAACATTCATAGACTCCTTGTTCATGACAAGTGTCATGTCAGTCTAATGCACACCTCTTCAAATAAAGTGTTATCAAATGATATTAAAGAAATAGGTGTTTCTCTCATTTCTAACAGCAGTATAGCAAATTCTTATTGGCTCATTTAAACCTATATAGGCAAATGGGTGATCTGGTAGAGCTGGCGCCCCATGTACCAAGGCAGAGTCATTGCTGCAGCAGCCATGGGTTCCGGTCCCAACTGTGGCCCTTGGCCATGTCATCCTCTCTCTCTCCCTCTCCTTTCAATTTCTGGCTGTCCTATCCAATAAAGGCAAAAGGATCAGTGGATTAGTTGGTTAATTAATCAACAGCAATCCAAAACTTCACCTGACAAACTCTCTCATCATGTGAGACAAAACAAATTACCAGTCTACAAATGTAACAGAAAAAACAGATATTTCCAATTGTTAGCTACACATTTATTGATCATTTAATAGCAGGAGGGTTGTAACAGTGTACTGTATATTTAAAAAGTTAATCTACAGTATGTCAAATGTGACATTACAGCAATAAATTATTAGTGTTTCTCCAAAGCAAATCCATGCCGGATTCAGATGTTCCCATAGTACAGTACATTATCGCTCACAGCACAGTGCAGCTACTGCAGTGGTGTTTTCAGGATAAATGCAATAAATGGAAAATATCAGTATGCTCATCATTAAATATCATATATGAAAGATTCAAGAGTGAAGAAGAATACAAAAATTACATTTTGTATAGTTTCTTCAAATGAACAGGAAAGTTTTCTTGTATTTTTTTTTAGCAAATGTGAATTGAAGGTCATGGTAAGACACTACATAAGAAGTTGAGAAAGACGACTCATCTGAATGCAGTAAGATGTTGCTCACTGAGGAACAGCATTTCTCCGGTTGTGGACAGGTCAAACTGGTTTTACACACTGAGCTGAGTTATTATGCACTCTTATAAGATCTTGTGAGCATTGTTCCATTCTTGTGGGTGTCCCTGTGTGTAATAATCAGCTGACTAATGCATTAACGCCCATGACAGCTATTTATATTCAGTAAACAAAGGTTATGAAACAGTAGGTTGTGAAACAGGAAATCATACAGTATGTTATCGTAAAATAAGTAAAATGTTATCTATGTAGCACTCAAACAAGGACAGAAGAAAAACCCTTGCATCATTTTTATTTGAACTCTATAGATGGGGAAACAAGTTTAAACCTCAATATCTTAAAGGAAAGAAAAACAAAATCAAAAAACAAACCCCCAAAACACTGAACACTCCCCATCAGCATTCCATAGCTTCTTTTTATTATTATTTTTTTGGTTTCATGCAACAATTTTGCATTAATTTCAAAATAAGTGGTTCTCTGTCTGCTTAGATGGAGGACTTCTCTCCATACAGCCAATCAAATCTCTGCATTAACCAATAACATCATATTTCTATCATGACACTGAGCCAGACAGCAGTCTGCTACACAACACTAGAGCCTTTATATTTCCCCAAAGATCAACAATACATTTAAAAAACATGATTTTTGACAGCAAAATGGATGAATATGATTTGAGTTGTCATCCTTTGCGGGCAGTTGTGCTAAAACCAGCCTGTTCCCATTGCCAGGTCATCAAATACCGATGTTTTATCACATCCTCAGCAGCGTTTAATAAGGCTGGACAAGGTACCCGTCAGCAACTGTATGAGATGTACCTAAACCTAACCAAACAGTGCCCATTTCATACAGAGACTGAAGGGTACCCTGTGCGTCTGCATGAGCAGTGTCGGTATTTGACAACCTGAACGTGTTGTTCTTTCCTATTCTGTTTGTATTTCTTCAAAGTCCACGAGCATTTTCCTTATCATTACAAACTCGTCAACAACTTTCTTACATTGCAAGGCTGAATCTGTGATACAGTTTCTAAACTTTGCATCCCTCTTAGAGGTTGGAATGATTTGGGTACTGTTTGCCAGTTTAGCTGTTTGCTTGAGAAGCTCCTGAAGTTGATTTGTATTTGACAGACCTCTTCTTGCCTGTTCTCCAGTTTTTGTCATTAATGAGGAGGATTTTTCCTCTAACTCATCAGACACCTGCTTAATTATTTTTAGGACATCTTTTGGAAATTCAATGATTTCCATGAACTCTTTTCCTAACTTTCCCACACTTTCTATACTTTGTCTCTTTCTCTTCCTTCGCCTTGTTTAGATTTAATCCAATAACACTTGCACCTCCAGTCAATGCTGTGACGCATCCTAGTACTGCCATGGTTGCAGCTCTTCCCCCACCTGCTAAAAAGGCTGCAGCTATTATGTTTACTCCTGTCTGCATCTGCTTTACTTTATCAGATATCTCCACAAGCTCGCTGGCAATGGCTTGCATTCTTTCTTCCTTAATGTCATACAGCTCAATAAATAGTCTCCCAGCTCCACATAGTCTTTGTAGTACATCAGATAAATGAGGAGGGAGTTCTGTCCTTACGCTTCTTCTTATTAAGGCCATTTTTTAAAAGACAGGCAGTTAAGTCTAAAAAATGTTTGAGTGCAAAGTCTTAAAAGGGCTGAACTCTATGACCAACAGGTGCCAGATGCCAGTGTTTCAGTCCATGTGGTGTGTTGTATTGATTGTTGTTCAGAGTCTTGGCAGTACCTGCCTGTAATTTGAAAAGAGATTAATTACTTAGACTTTCACAAGAGTACAACTACCATATATAGCCATATATATCATTTTACACACATACAAACACTGTTTAATACAGTACACATTACAAATAAAACTTTCCATTATAGGATTAATCGTGAAATGGGATAATTGTGAATATCCTCATGAGTGACTTATAAAAGCTGTCTAGCTTGCTGATGTATAGTAACAGCCACAAGGAGGAACGGACATGACTGAAAGCTCAGTTATCCAAATGTTTCCACCACAAAAAAAGTTCAACCAGATGTGTGGAAATACTATGGATATCAAACTAAAGACTGACATAGAGAGGAGGTGCCGTCTGAAGAGTCTATCTGTGATGCAATGAAAATATTGGTTTCCTAAAATCCAGGTGAAATGGAAATCAGAGTGCTATTTGCTTCTGCACATTTATGTATTTTCTGTCAAAACAGGCAGCTAGGGAGGGGATTGTCACAGTAGCCAATAGCATTGTGTGCTATGTCCCCCCAGTCCAGCAACTATACCCGACCCATAAGCTGACTCTGCTGGGACTGGGAGCTCCCAGAAAAAAGCACGGCCAGACCGGGGCCGAATATGGCCTTCAACGCCAACATAGGACAGTTTAAGAACAGGGAATAAAGTACCAAGGTGCTTTGGTTGTTGGGTTTGGCTCCTGCCACCCAGGGGCTAAGTTGGCTAACGTTAACTGCACCAGTTAACAGCATCTAACATTAAGGTTGGCAATAAGTCCATCTGGAATCAACATAAATCTCCTTGGTACCACTGTCATCAAACTCTCTGTCTGGAGGTTATGTTCACTGGGAGGCTGCTGAACCCCGTTCAGTTGCACGCCAATGGTAGATACATTAGCAGTTAGCTGAGTTGAGACGGGGGCAGCTGGACGACATCTAGGGAAAACCAGACAATATTTTCTACAGTAAATATCTTCCAGTTTCACGCAAATCACTGATAAAGTTGTGTTTTTGCAGAGTTATCAGAGAGACCCGGCCCCCCAGAAACACTACGCCCCGGTAGCTAGCCATGCTGTTGCTAGCATACTAACTAATAAATCTTCGGTGTCACTAAAAGTTGAAGATTGATTGACAGGTGAACGACATGTTGTTATGGGTTGAAATTAGTAAGTTCATGCTTACACAAGCGTGTCAAACATTGTTAAATAGAAGTACAATATAACTGAGGATGCAATCTTAAAGGGTAAAAATTACATTTTTAATTTCACCTGGATTTTAACAAAATGTGATCCTAATTTAAGAATATTTTGATGATTATGAGGATAATATTGTGAATTTCTATTATTTTAGCCATCATAATCGAGACCTGAAATGTTCATATCTCCCATGCCTACATACATACAATTCAAAAAGAACACAAAGAACAGACAACAACAGAACTTGTGTAACTGGTATTGTGTGTTGCCTTCTAGGCCCAGACTTACAAAGAAAAGTTATGTTGCAGTAGATAATTACACTACCGCTTCAGATGTTCTTTTTATCTGCAGCCGTGAAATGCTAAAAGATCAAATACAGACAACACAATAGACATGGACATAGACATTAATATTTAATTTAAATGTGCTACTGTACATGTGCTGTACATACTATGTGGCAAGGGCAAAGTAGAGGAAACATTCAGCAGGAAATATTACCTTGTTTTCACATTCAGATTGTTATAGTGCTGTCATATTTCCTCTCAGGAGGACATGGAAGCAGTTAGAAATAAATCCCATCAGTGCAGCAGTCCATCATCTTCAAAAGTCTTGATGACCCAAGGACAACAAATATACCACACAGCTGTTATCTGGATGTCAAACATACTGTACACTGTAAAGTGCTTGATTGTCCAACTTGCTCTGATTCCTGTCATCCAATAACTTACCTACTTTTTCATTCTCTAACTCAAATGTATTATAAAACAACAGCATATATCCCAGACCAGACTTACTTCATTTCAGCCAGTTAGAAATTTAAAGAAAATAAAATTTTGCTATATTTTAACTGGATTTAAATGGCTGTTCAGCCCTCTATTGATCACTAAATCCAAACAGATCTCTCTTCCTTCAACTCCTCTGAATTTCCTGGTTCTTTGGGGAACATTGTGCTCTTAATGAAGATGACTTAGAAATCTATGAACAGTCTTTTGAAAGATGTGGCTACAAAATGTTAGAAATATGAGAAACAGAAACAAATGATAAATGTCTGAACTCTGTGAACTGATGCATCAATGCATTTACAGGCAACTCAATCAAACAGGAAAAGCTAGCCAATAATTTAGGTCATAAAAATAATAATGTATATTGAATTGAATTTAAATGGCTTACATGATGGTTCGTCCTCCCCCTTGTCTGTGCCTTTTCATAATACTTTTACTGAACTTTACAAGGCTCTCCCTCTGTCAGCAGTCCACACATTGTTGCTTATATAAAACACACAGTCACATGATATGCAAATAATGATCCGCCAAACCCACTTTCAATATAAAACAGAAAGTAAAAAACACAAGTCATTATAGTTTCATCTGGCAGCCAGCTTTGTTCACTCAATACAAAACCTAACAGACAAATTTAGGAGGATCTATTGTCGGAAATGGAATATAATATCTAAGTATGTTTTCATGATCAATCAACTGAAAATAACAATTGTTGTGTTTTCATTACCATAGAATTAGCTTTAGCTTAGTTTTTATCTACAGGCCCTGCAGGTCACCTTCAATGGAGAGAGAGGGGATGACTAACAGCAAAGGGCCACAGGTCAGACTCATGACGTCAACGCCATGGTGAACTACCGTTTTTATTTGCAGACGCTACAGTATCACAGAATGGACAAACCAAACACTGGCTCTAGATATGGCCTGTCATGTATTTGTGAGTTTCGCTGCCACTGTAGTTTCTACTACATACCTGAGAGTTAATCAAGAAAGGAAGTAGCTCAGAAAACTCAACTGAAAATAAAATGAGAGCTTGAAACAGTAAGTAAAATGAAAAAGTGAAACTAAAATGCATAGTAAGAAACAACACTGTGTAATTACAGATTCTGTGTTTGCTTACATTGCCTTGTTAGCTTATAAACACTGACTGACTGTTGATTGATTGATCGATTGATTGCTTTCACTACAGCTAAATTGTTCTGTTTCAGGCCAGACCGAACATCAACATTTTTCCTATAACCAGTAACACATGCGTATGAAAGAAAAAAAAAACATGATGATACACATAACAGATTAATAACCATAGCATATCAGAACTAAACAATCCAGAGAAATCAACATGAACGTGTACATTGTGTTGAAATACAGTGACATCTGCTGCTGTGGCAGAGCCTCATGTGCATTATTACAAGTTTATTCAGCGGGATATCCCTCCGCTTTTATTATACATTTTATTCCACAATCTCTAATGTAGCTGTATTTACAAACAGAGACACCCCATCAAGAAGACGGCGGTGCACACTGCCCTCATGTGTTGTGTCTGAGCCCTGCTCATTTCAGCACATTGCCCAAAGAATCTGCCATGTGTCCCAAAGACCTAGCTGAAGAAACACTTCCTTCAAAACAACAAATACCATTTTTTCTTGATGGAAATGTCTCTAAAGTTTATAAAAGTGTTGAATAAAGTAAAATTAGTATAGTATAACTAAAATTCCTGTAATATCAATAGCCCTGCTTTCACAAATAACCAGTTTATAGAAAAAATGAAGGAACTTCTTAAGACAAGGAAACTGATAAATTGACTGTCTGTGGAGTCTGTAGCACCGTCTGACCAAAGAAAGATGGCCTGTGACTGCAGTAACATGAGTTGGAGCTTTATGTTGTACAATTGGGTTAGTTGGAAGGAATTATGAAACAATAATAATAATAAAGCTGGAGCCTGCCATAGATGACACAGCAAAGAGGCAGGACTTTGGACAAGTCCTTGGTGGCTCCACCTCTGGGTCCCAACGTCCCAAACAATACTCATCTACTTATTAAAAGTTACTTGAAGCCTGCCATGGCTCAAGCATTAGCCCAAGTCAGGGGACACAAAAGGGGCCTGAAGATGGTTGCTCATATGGGAGCATTGGATCTTTTAGTGAGCCACATGGGCAGACACACATTACAAATGTGTTAAATGTGAACAAATGTTTTTGTTTCTCTTTTGAGTTTTCCCAAATCAGTGTTAATGATGTGGAGAAACTATGTTCTTTCGTCAAGTGAGCAGTACTACAGGACAATGTGCTGTAAGACTTGTCATTTCTTTGTCTGCCCTTTCATCCAACGCGTTTTCCTTTCCCCCTTTCACTCTATTTACTACCTTTAAGGTCAATCTAGACATATTAGCCTCTCCTAAATCTGTGCTTCATAAAAATGTCAAAATATAGTTTAAGTACTTTCTGCAGTAAGGTGAGCTGAAAATGAGAGTGTTTAGAGAAAGACACACCGTAGAAGGACTGATGAGAGGAATGAAAGACATCAATAGGGCATGACAGAAAAGAGACTGAGACAGAGAGAAAAGACAGACCGAGACACAGAAAACTAAGATTTAGACTAAAGCAGCCAGGTTTCTGTAAGCCTCCATTGCCATACTTGAGACAGCAGTATTAGATTAATACTCACTGGAGCCATTAGGATGACTAGAGGATATCCTCCTCAGCTCCAATAATGCTGATGAGAGTAGGAGTGTATGTGCTGGTCAGGTAGAGACTAGAGGACTTCCTGCTTCATCTTTTCACAAATGAGGAATTGGCTTGCCTTTAAATATATAATTTTCATGATGGAAGAATGCCCACAAGTTTTGACTGTGTGCAAATGCACAGTTTGTGTGCAAGCAGGCTTGAGTATGTGTGCACGAGTACTGTATATGGATACATATCTGTACACATTAGGATTATTATTAGAATAAACAAAACAACACAAAGAGAAAAAAATGACATTATAGCTACATATTTTTCATGGGTATTTTCAACCAAAAATGTAAATTTATCACCACAGTAGTAGCAACAGTCTCAATGGCAGAGACCACCAAACCTGGACAAATACCATTAATGGAACAAGAACATTTTGTGAAAGAGCATTTCCTAAAATGTCAAACTACAAGATGTGTTGACGATATTGGTAAAGATGATAGTGGATAACATCTCACTCTTGGCTCATTCCACTTTTAACAGTTTTTAGCCTTCTGTTGCCAATTCTGTGCTTACCCAGTATCTGAATTCAATCTGTCGTCTCATTCAAATAGCACATTTAATTTGGAGCAACAGAGAGAACATTTAGTCTTGGCTGGAGCTCCAGAGGCAGTGGTATTGTTTGTGGACCAGTTTTCTTTTTCTCTCTTTTTTTACTCCTACATCCCATTTCCTCCATGCTCGGCGTGGCGACCTCACCTTTCTGTCATTAAGTCAGCCAGACGCTACTTCATCTAGCAAATTGTTGCGGTTTAGATGATATTCCTGATCGCTGAAACATACTTGTTTCCCTCATTGCTGTGTGTTCATTTGTCCAATATTTGCAGTAGAAAGTGCCTCATAACATTCACCTGTTCCTAATTATACTGTTTGTTATCATGGTCGGCCACCTGTATGGTCTGCGTATGTGTGTGTGTGAGAGTTTCCTTGTAGAAATACATTCATATTTGATTGCATAAGTGTGTCTACTTCTGTGACTGTGTAATGAACGTGTGAGTATGCGCTTATTAAACTAGTTATCCTGGAGTTCTTTCTGTTATTTATTTAGTCTCCATTTTTGTTGCTATGCTCTTATTGTTGGAGTTTTCTTTTACATTGTAAGATTCCCCTTTGGTCAAGGTAGGACTATGGTTTCATAGTTTCACCAGGCGTCGCTCATGTTAACTCCTCTTCTTCCTCTGTTTTCAGACTATAAATGCAATACTTCCTGTTTGTCAGAGTTTTTTTTTTCCCCAGAAAGACAAAGAGCATTGACAACAGCAAATAATCCAGTGCCAATGTGTTCAGCCAGCTTGGTGCCAGTGATGGAGGCCAACAGTGAGTAAATTGGTGGCAGAAGGATGAAAGGAGGGAGCGAGGGAGTAGCTTAAAGGCAGAATGCAGTGGTTAAAACCTGGCTGGGCTATCAGTGTCCAAATGTCAAGAGTCTGCAGGTTTTTATTTTACCAATCACAACAGCAGCAGATTCTATGCACGTAGCCAGAGAAAAATGAATCACAAAAAGAGTAAAGCAAACACACTAAATGAATAACAAACAAATGTGACAATTATAAAAAACAGAAGAAGGAGATAAATAGTAAACATTTTAATGCAAATAAATGTAATAGCTAACATTATTTAGTCTGCACTATGATTGCATAATATTTTTTTTGTTGTTGTTGTTTCTTTATGCCTTAAAAGGGCCAGTGTGTAGGATGTAGTGCCATCTAGTGGTGAAGTTGCAGGTTGCAACCAACTGAATACCGCTGGGCTGTAAAGTGTGTAGGAGAAAGTACGGTGGCTGCAAAACTCACAAAAATTGAATTGGCCCTATCCACCATCAGTGTTTGGTTTGTCCAGTCTGAGCTAGACACATGGCAGTTCAACATGCCAGACTCCATAGAAGGCAGCCCGCAGCGTCTGCGGATAAAAATGGCTCATTCTAAGGTAACGAAAAAAACAGTTCCTATATTCAAGTGATTATAAATAATATATATTCTAATACTAATGAAAACATACCTATGAATATTATATTCAAATTCTGCCAATAGATCCTCCTAAATGTTACACACTGGACCTTTAAAGCTGCAGTAATAAGTCTTTTTAATATTAACAATGGATCAAATGACTGTGTGTAATGTGAATGTAGAGCTGAGGGGAACTGCAAAGTTAAGATAATTCTCTGTGGATTTGTCTCCTTTAGCTCACTGTTTTGGTCTTTGGGCAAGCCAACTGTGCTCTCATCAATGTAAGTTTCTAACATTAGGCAGTTGTTTTCATCGAAACAGCTCTCAAACCCACTGCATGCTACCTGCCTAGCACCAAACCCCAGACAGACAAAGTTAATGACTATGTGGTGAAAACAGTGGAGCATCTCGCTAGCTAGCTAGAGAGCTTAAATGACAATAATATCAGACTTATTTTAGTCAAGTGGCCTAAAACATGAATCTAAAGGAGTGCTAATGTTGCTTCATGTCTGCTGAGTTTGTGTTTGCCACAACAGCTTTAGATATATCACTGTTGTGTTTCCAGCTATTCCTGGTGCCCTTAATGAATTCAGCTTTCAATGTGAATAGAGTCATATTTCTTCACAATGAGACAGATAAAGAAGTTACATGTTAAACAAAGAAATGGAGGAATGGTGACGTGTTGAAAGGACGGTTAGCAGGAGGGACATTTCTGCATTTCCCTCTCTGTCTTTTTCATTGTGTGCCAACATCCTTTGGCTCCAGCAGCTCGACTGATGTAGATTAAGGTGGACTGGCCA